ATTTGCTAGTAAATTGTTTTGTAATATTTCTTTTGGTTTTTTGGCATTTGCTAGTGAATTGTATTGTGGTATTTTTTCTGGTCTTTCAGTATTTAACTGGTGAATTGTCTTGTAGTATCATTCTGGTCCTTTAGCATTTACTGGTAAATTGTCTTGTGGTATTTTTTCTGGTTTTTTGGCATTTGCTAGTGAATTGTTTTGTAGTATTTCTTCTGGTCCTTCAGTGTTTAACTGGTAAATTGTCTTGTGGTATTCTTCTGGTCCTTCGACGTTTTTCTGGTGAATTGTCTTGTAGTATTCTTCTGGTTTTTTGGCATTTGCTAGTGAATTGTCTTGTGGCTTTTCTTCTAGTCTTTCAGTGTTTGCTGGTGAATTGTTTTGTGGCATTTCTTCTGGTCTTTTGGCATTTAACTAGTGAATTGTCTTGTAGTATTTCTTCTGGTCTTTTGATATTTTTTTGGTAAATTGTTTTGTGGTATTCTTTTGGTCTTTCGGCATTTATTGGTGAATTGTCTTGTGGTATTTCTTCTAGTCTTTGTGTAGTGGTATGTTTTGTAGTTTTTTTTTTTTTTTTTGTTTTGTTTTGTTTTAATTATAAAAATATAGATTCATTTATTTTTTTTAATAAAATTTTATTAAGTAATATAAGTAACCAATAAAAATTGATTAGTACGTATAAACAATTTTTAGTCTAAATTTTACTATAGCACATGATCATGTGATATAATGTGATAATCATCTGAAGTAGGGTTAGAGAGTCAGAGTCCATGTGACTTGAAAAATCTCACCTACATTCTGTATCTGTTCTATACTTGGTATATTAATATGCACTTCACATATTGGTTTTTCTTGATCATCAATTCAAATCACATTATATATATTATTACTATATTCAAAATCTTTGTATGAACCTGATTTTGCAAAATCTATCTGTTGCTTTATATATAACTCAAATACAACATGTAAATACTAAAAATAACTCTTCTAAGCTTGCATCTTTATTATTTTTTATATACCTATTCTGATATCAGTAAGTTTTATATGCAAGCTTTTGAGAGTATTTTGCAACTATTTTTAAATAATTGTGAGTAATTTGTCAATTAGAGTAACACAGTTTTTAGTTTACTATATAGGCTTTTGACATATTGACTAGATTTTATATCAAAGTTTATATTACTTTTTATATATATTATAAGCTAGCTTTTCCTATACAGTATCCAAGTCTGCACAAATATTATTTGTACTTAAAAATTGCAACTATAATAATAAAATAGTCTGATCTTATTGATCTTTAGAAAGATCTTTATTATATATAAGCTTCTAAATACTTTGAACAAATTTCTTAGTATCAACATCTTTTTTAAATTTATTTTTAATATTTTTAAGAATATGCCAAGCACACAATTGATGCTTTGTACTAGAAAACACAGTTGAAATTGCTACTATAAGGGCTAACTCTCTATTGGTAATAATTGTTATTATATTTAAATTGCTAGTTAAAATAGTTAGTGCTTTACTTAATTACTTTATTGCCTAATAATAATAATTTTGAGTTTTTGAATATACTAATACAAAAGCCAATAGATAAGTTGTTCCAAATTGGTCAATACTGCAAATTACGATTAATGGTATAGAAAACTAATTTGTCTTATATGTAGTGTCAATAATTAAGATATCCTTTGATAATACAAATTCAGTAGCTATACTATGATAAATTCAGAA